TTTTTTTCACCGCGGAGCACGTGATAAGTCAGCACTTAAAGTTAAAAACTTCATTGTTCAGGTTGCTCGATTTTGAATTAAAAAAGTCTGTATTGGTAATAGTATTCATGCTGTATTGCCAATTTAAATTTGTAAGACTGTATAGTGACTACATTTTCTATAAGCGTCCCAAAAAGGAATACTTTTTTTTTAATTAAACTAGATAGTTTAATTTAAAAAATGTATCCCTTTTTGGGACGTCATAATTGTTTCATAATATGAAGTGGCATAAGTAAAAAGTCGGAAGCTCTTAACGAGCGAAAAGGCCATGTTCCATACGCTAACATCTAAAATAAGATTTTTGGTAATGATAATCCTTTACTCTCTTTACTTACGAACAAACACCTGGGAAAATAACCTCGGAGGATATTTAACTATAAATAAGCACTCGTTTGAATTCTTAAGCCATTTATAAGTTATCCACAGGAACAGGTCAGTTTTCAAAAACCAAATCAAATATGTATGTCAACTAGTCTACACGACCATCTTACAAATTAACAGATTTAGTTCTTCTATAATTTAGGAAAATTAAAAATTCAGTCCCACAAAATAACAGACGTAGAATGTTAAAATTAGAGCCGTGATAGCTCAGTGTCCGGGCGCTCGCCTTTAATTCAATATACTCGAGCAACCTGAGTTCGATCCCCGGTGCCGGCACCAATGAAGTTTTTAACTTTAAGTGCTGACTTATCACGTGCTCCGCGGTGAAGGAAAACATCGTGAAAATATGAAACCTGCATATTTTCGAAATAATAACAAAAAAAAACTTTCGAAGATATGTGAAGTCTGCCAATCCGCAATTTGGCCGCGTGGTGGACTATGCCCTGATACCCTCTGTATAGAGGAGGCCTTTACCCAGCAGTGGGACATGTATAGGCTGTTACCTTTACTTTTAGAATGTAAAAATTGCAATATATATTCTTATCAATATTAAAAGATCAAAGAAATCTTTGAAGTTAATCATAAAATTACATAATTATTTCGATAAAGAAGCTATGAAGACAACAATTTTTTATGGTCCTAAAACATTAACATTATTATCGTAAAATGTATCACCAAAGTCTTCACGACTCTTTGAAACCTGTATCCACGGAGTCTCCTTTCTTAAAACTAAGTCTATATCGAAGTTCTTATCTTCACTTTCACGCAGTTAATACGCTCCCGCAATATTAAGCAAGGAGTGGCGTTCCAAGTAGACGTATTATTACGTGAAAATCTGCGGGGAAGCAACATTCAACTGATTTATGTTAGTACTTTATCGTTTGCACACCGCTTTTTGGCTGTATAAGTTGGGTGTTAAATTGCGTGAGTCCTACTTTTTATTTGCCACCATTTAATCTGCTGTATTCTGTATAATTTTGTTCATTTTCTTTTTTGATGTATCGGATGGGCGAGTCACTTCTATATTTTCTTTCTAAATCCGACCAAAATTTGTAACCCATACATATAAATAGACCAGTATCTGATAAGATATTATTTTACCGCCTTGTGAAGTGTGTAGTTGCCTATAGTATTTTTTACGATAGAAGAAACAACATTGCCCGTTCATAGCGCCACATAAACATTATCGGCTTCCTATAAAACGTTTATTAACAATAAAAATTTTAAACACGATCGTTGATAACAATTTAGCTCTAAATTTAATATTGAAGAGACAACAGAACCATAAAATTATATCCACATCCAACTTTACGTACTGTGATGAGATTGCTTACGCTGTAGAAAAAAGATTGGTTTGACCAAGACATCAATTTTTGCAAGGGTTAAATTTTCTAGCACGAGTAAACTTTTTGTTTTTTGTTTGGGTATTTCCTTACCCGGTTTCCTTTAATGGATGTTTTCTCTATGAAATGCTTCATATAGCCCTTTTTGCACAGATATAACGAAACAAGACAATAAAATTTAGAAATCCATATTCACAATACATTCGCTTAATATGACCAACATCATGCGTACCTACTGCATCGTTACTCTGACCTATTTCAGAGTCAAAGACAAAATGTAACTTATATGTTTAAAATCATGCAGTGGCGATGTTAAATAAAAATAGATGTACACTGTTACTATCACGGCCAGTGAACCCGATTAAAAGCGTGTTGAGAGGAAATCTAGTTTTCCCTTATGGCGCCGCTGCGTCGAGCGCTGCGGGTTGGATCTGCAACTTAACATGTATTACTACTTATGCAATGGAAAAACAATAACAACAATCCACTTAATCATTTCACAAATTAAAGCCATTTCATTGTTTTTGTATTAAATGTCATACTTATCTCTCTACATATCTCTTGAGGGAACTATGTCGTTAATCATCGACATATCTCCCCCAAGTATCTAAATGTACATTTGATGCAGTTACATAAGCTCTTCTGATGGTTTCGAATTAAAAACCATAACTGGTCACCCGTCGTGTTAAAGTTCAAATTAAAAAAAAATAAAATGGTGCTACATAAGGCTACTAAATAACTTAAAAGCAAGAGTGTATCAGATGGAAGTATAACACTCAAAATGTATCATAAAGACACTGCACTACAATTTACGTATTTTAAATGAGTTTCTCATTATTACTTTCAGAAATAATTCAATGTATTTTTCATTATTACGAGGTGAGCTACTATATTTTTGGATTAAATAGCTGACTGAATGACTGCTGCAAAATGAAAGCTCATTTGAGATGGGAGTTTATTGAGACAGTGCCTATTTAAAGTTTAAAGTAAATATTTTTTTTGGAATTGAAGATCATTTACTCTATACTAATAATATAATAAAGCTATAGAGTTTGTTTGGACGTGCTAATCTCTGTCACTACAAATCGGTTTTGAAAATATCTTTTGCATTTGATAGCCCCGTTCTTGAGGAAGGTTGTAGGGTATTTAATATCACGCTTAGGCATACTGGGGCGTATCAGAAATGTTTCCCGCGAATAAAATAGCACGAAACAGCTAGTTAATATTTTAAAAACATCAGGTTTATTAAAACTATGACAGAATACAGTCTTTGTGTAATAAAGACCGTCCCTTGACGAACGTCTTGTGATGTCTTGCATGATTGAATAATGAAGGTTTTTTTACTGTGATATTTGTGAAGAAGTTTATGCTTTTGCGTTTTGTGAGGAGTATGTGATACCGGGATGTGCTGTTTTAAAGCTTGGCAATGCATCTGGATCCACACATGTTCATGGGCGGTAATCATAAATACTACGTTTACTGCTAGCTTCCTCTCTCACCTCCTCCTTACATAGAAAATCACAATGAAAAGCGCTTAAGAATACCAGTAAAACAAAATGAACATATTTCAAGAATACTAAACGGGTGCTTGCAGCTATTACAATTAGGACGTACGAGAATAAATTGCATAACCCGTAACAAAATAATCCGCTCTACCGTTGCTCAAGTGACGTCAATAACGCCAAACGAACGGGAGTTGTCTCTCGCCACTTAATAAAGCATTCATTCTCATGGTAAACAATATTATTAACACATCGCCCGACCCGAAAAAAATATTCTGGGTCGCCGCGCATCCCGGTATTGAGATGATTGCGTTAAAACAAAGCTGCGACAATGTTTCTCTCCTATCATAAGGCTATTCAACACGCCCCCATTCCTTTTCAGCCTTAATTAAAATTTGCTCTTTATATTTGTGCTTCGCGTTCTAATTACTTCTTTAATAGAAAATGACCGCATTGTTCTCTTTAAATGGGCCTCTTCTAAACATTGATTAAAAAAGAACGTTCTGCTTTTGCTATAAAGTAAAGGCTGTTAGCCTGTTAGGCTGTTAGCCTATACATGTCCCACTGCTGGGCAAAGCTCTCCTCTATACAGAGAGTATCAGTTGTGGACTATGCCACCACGCGGCCCCACTGCGGATTGGCGGACTTCACATATCTTCCAAACTTTTTTTTTTTATTATTTCGAAAATATGCAGGTTTTCCTTCACCGCGGAGCACGTGATAAGTCAGCACTTAAAGTTAAAAACTTCATTGGTGCCGGCACCGGGGATCGAACTCAGGTTGCTCGAGTATATTGAATTAAAGGCAAGCTCCCGGACACTGAACTATGATGGCGGTCTTTAAAAAAATATTTTAGACAATGAGTTACTCTTGACCTATGCAAAAAATTACAAATACTAGCCCTTAGTATAAAACGTCGATTATGGAGGCAATGTAAAAAAAGCTACAAAAAAAACTACAGACAGCATAAAATTTTTCTTAAGGCCATTTTTAATACAGAAATAAAGATCGTAACTGTTTATTACCGTTATTTAGAATTCTGTCATGTTTACTTGACACTCATTACTAATGAAACAACATTAATAAAGAACTACTTGAACTCTTCTCAGGACTCATTACCTACTTTTAAAATAAAATTCATGAAATCGTACCCGCAGAAGAAACTACTGACCGTTATGATAATTAATAGCAAACAACTCCATTATTAACACTATATTTAAATGAATGAATCCGTATCGAGTGAAACAAAAATGAATAACCACTGATTACCCGTCATTCTCTTACTATTGAAATGGATGCTATGCACATCGTTATTCACAACACCGTAATTATTTTTCATTCATTATTCATAAATCGAGAAGCTAATTAAGTACTCAACTGAATTTATTAATATGCAGGGTATCGCGCGTGACGCGTGCACCGCAATCGAGCCGACGGCGCTGTGATATGGAGACACTTCCTGACCAGCTGTGACCCGACATCCCCGCTCATTGGCAAAATGCCTTATCAACAAACGACATTACACTATTACCAACCTCTTATTGATAGAGTGGAACAAGTTCTGGGAGACTTATCAGTCGCGGACGCCGCCCGTACGCGTTCCCATCTAAACGGCACCATTATGTAAAGGTCCGTGTCGTGTTGTTCGGATAATAAGATCGCGATGGAAAGTAATGACAGTGCGCCAACACCCAATGGGGCTCTCGTGACCGAGTGATGCGGCTTGAGCGATAAAATGGGTGATCTACTACCGAGTATACCGAAGAGCACACTCTCCAGCGAGTTGGACGGGTACAATTGGAGCGTGGTCGGCCTGGACGAGTACGGCGACGACGATGAGCTGGCCGCAGTGGAGCTTTTCAAGGACTACCCGGAGGGCTTGCTGCGTTTCGCCTCCGTCTGCTGCGTGCTGTTCATGCTGGTCGGCATACCCGGCAATTTGATCACGATTATTGCCCTGGCGCGATGCAAAAAGGTGAGCCAATATATTTGAAATGGTATCGTAGCAATTAGCGCAACTAACGGCCGGTTTTAATGTGTTTTCTCTCTACAGATAGATTTGGCTGCTAGCGATAGGTATTTGACGTTAGGTCTATAACACTTACGTCAAAATTCTATAGAATATTGAAACCGGTTGTAAAGCGTCATTCAAGTAAATGATTTCCAGCAATAAACGAAACAGTTTTTGCATATATATTTTAATATATTTAATGTATCTTTATAAGAAAAATTGTACTGTAAAAGATAAACTATATCAATTCTAATTTTCCATTTTTTTACGTTCATTACATTCAATTTAGAATAGTAAATAAATATTATTTCACCGCTTGAATCATCGTCAATAACTCATTTTCGTTCATTGTTGTTAATGGGTCATTACTTTTTGTTATCTTTAACTGCAACGATGTTGAATTTTTGTAAATTCAAAACATTATTAATGTAAAATGACCTTCTTTAAAAGTGATTTCTTAATAAAATATGTACTACATATATATAAATTATTATAAATTTACTAGAAAAATTTTCAAATCATAAATATTAATTTAATTTATTTTTTGTAGAAGCACCAATTTTATTAATAGCTTCGTCTAGGTCAACGTTCTGTTGGTTTTAAAAATAATGTGGGAAGAATTGTGATAAGAATTCTGTTATCGGAAGACTATTGTGTAATCAGTTATTCTACTCAAATTTTAAGTGAAAGCAATTAACCGTATTATTATCAATCACTTCCGCTTGCTTCAAAATATTTTTTATAAGTTGCTTGTCTTTTTTTTATTTATTGTTTTATATTTAATTGGTCATTTCATTACATAAGCATGTTACTATTAATCTATTAGACGTATTTTTTTTCTTTATAAAATAATTAGTTATTTACTAAGCTTAAATATGTACCTTAATAAAAAATCAAACCACGAAACACACATTGTTCATGACATATACATTATCTGGGTAGTCATGGTAAAGTAAGAACCCAAAGTGAAATGCATGAAAATTATTTAATTTAATATTTTAGGGCCAGGTACGAATAAAATGGAAACCAGTCCTCGTTGATTTAAATAGTTTGCCAGTTTACATGAATAATAATAAAATAATTATAATTTAATAACAGTAAAACTTAATATTTAAAAAAATTAAACAATTAACACTAATTGTTTTTATTTCTTACTTGTTGATTAATTACGACAATTCTGTTACTATAGATAAACATCAAAATTAAATTGTTGCTAATTCGGAGGAGCAATTTAGTTAATTGAATCGGATACCTAAATCACGTCCACTTAAGTATGTTCAGTAATAAAACGGAACGTGTTCATCTTTACAGGTACGCAATGCAACGGCAGTGTTTATTATGAACTTGTCGTGTTCCGATCTGCTGTTTTGCTGCTTCAATCTGCCACTGGCCGCGTCGACCTTCTGGCGGCGCTCGTGGGCGCATGGACGCACGCTATGCCGCATGTTTCCTCTTGCAAGATACGCCCTAGTGGCCGTGTCCCTATTTACAGTTCTGGCCATCACGATAAACCGATACGTCATGATTTCCCATCCAAGGCTATATCCAAAGTACGTGAATTAATCTAAAATACAAGCTTATTTATACATTTTATCAAAGACGTTTCATGAAAGTTTTTTTTTCTAACAGGCTCTACAAGCGTCAGTACTTAGCTGTAATGGTCGCCAGCACGTGGATATTTTCCTTCGGAGCGTTAATAGCGACGTGGCTAGAGAAGTGGGGCCGTTTCGGACTGGACCAGTCGATAGGCTCCTGTTCCATCCTCCCCGATCGTAACCATCGTTCGCCCAAAGAGTTCCTCTTTGTAGGAGCGTTCATGCTCCCTTGTCTGGCAATAGTCATATGCTACGCTAGAATTTTCTGTATCGTGAGGAAAGCCGCAAAAAGATCACGAGCTCCAGCGAGAGGTAGACCAAGGGCTGTACCGGGACTGGAAGACTCGGCTATGGGCTCAGCTTCTACTGCTCTTGAGCGTTCTCCGGGTCCCGAAAATGGAGTAAACCACGCAGTCCCCCCTCGGAGGGCTTTGCTAGCGCCACCGGCCTTGCATTACCCCCCTACTCCAGGCCCTGAACGATCCTCATCATCAGGGGTCGACACGCTTGACGGACATGACGAGGAATGCACTCTCGAAGGGAAACCCCGAACGCCGAGTGGCGGTGAAACCGCCAAAAGACTACGGCAAGCGGCAGTGGTTTTAAAACGTTCCCCAGCACCAGTTCGACCGCCTCGGTTGACGCCAAAAGACAGGAAGCTGCTCAAGATGATCATGGCGATCATGCTCTCTTTCTGGGTCTGCTACTTACCCATAACGTTGACGAAACTATTTCGCGAGTTCACCTCGCACCCCGCCGCAAATATTGCCGGGTACATCTTGATATACTTGACCACTTGCATCAATCCCATTATCTACGTTGTGATGTCAAGCGAATACCGGCAAGCGTACAAGAACCTACTAATGTGTCGGAGGAAGGCGTGACGCTCGCCCGGCGAAGGCGTATCTGAGAAACGCCCGCCGTGACTACCTGTGAATCACTGAACAATCTCATGTGTGATTTTACAAATAATCAGTTGACGATCGTTTCGTGCAATTTGACATAGTGAAAGTGACCTTTAAAGATCACTAGTGCGTCGTCACGAAGTCACCATTTTGAATTTTCATCAGATTTATCTATTAAATAGAATCATAATTCGTTTTTAGTTATCATGTAAGCGAGACCGTCCGTGATTGTGTGATTGTTAGATTGAAGCGTGTGATTGAGTCAAATGTAAATCAATTTGAATCTTTGAAAGTCATTATTAGTAATAGGAGTACTAAATATTGACAAGTTTCTTATTGTAAGTTTTTAAGTTCTAAAATGCGATTTACTAGACGACTGTTTCAGTAAATGTTAGTAGATTTTCTTTTGAAACAAAAACAATTAGCTTTTAAGATATGTAATATATTCCATAGTTATTTTCAATGACTGATAATGTTATAGATAACATGTGTAACAAATAGTATCGTTATAAGTTATGTCTCTACGTAATAGGGTCACGAACGTTGTCAAAATTTTTCTGTGCTCTAAAAGTAGATTGATTGTAGATTGTTCTTTCTCATCTGGTCTGTTTAAATATTTCCCTTAAAAATTGTAATTTGATCAGTTTAACTGAAATGTTAATACAAACAAAGGATCATTTGCGAATACAGCATTATCACCGACGGGTGAAACCCGTTGAATCTCCGTCAAACTTGAGTCATGAGGATATTACATACATTCCAATAAAAGTGACCGCAGTGACGAATGTTTACAACAAAAGCATTTGTGATTTAGAATACGTTAGGAAGTGGCCGTATATTACCGTGTCATAACTTGGTGATTTGTGACGATGATTTGGAACAGTTCGTCAGTGGACGTCTTACCGCGTAATTTATCTGTGTTGAACTATAATGGAACTGATGAAGAATTGTCGGCTGTTATACTATTCCAAAACTATCCGGATGGTATTCTGAACTTCGCAGCGATATGCTGCCTGCTGTTTATGTGTATCGGGATCCCGGGAAACCTGGTTACCATCATAGCGCTTGCAAGATATGAAAAAGTAAGTATAAAATTTCTTTCGTATAATACATATTTTAAATTTGTGAATTTTTGTACATTTTTCTATAGTTAATTAATCCTCTCTGTACCTTTGCCTGACCTTTGCTCAGCCGTGAGACAATATACCTATAATTAAAATTTATTAATAATTCATTTAAATTCTAAGGGAACAAAATATTATATAATAAGAAAACCACAGCTTTGGAATATAATACAGACTTTTTACTTTATCTTGAAAATGCTTCACAACGAAATTTTGCGCATTTATATGGAGTATTTTATATAGTTATTTTTCTTTCTTCCTCGCCGCTTTTAAAACACTAATGAACTAAATCTTGAAAATAAGTAATGAGCAAATAATGAACTATAATTAGTAAGTCAAAAAAAAACTTAAACATTATTCTTCTTAAAACAAATTCAACTTGGTATTAATAAAAAAACATTGTGTATGAACGTGTCGTCAGTATATAAAGGCTTATACTCGCATTTATAAAACCTCGGGACATTATATGACCATGTTACATAAATATAGCATAAAAAAGGGATAAATAAATTATTGAATGCATCTTTTATCATTAAACAGGAAATAAGTAGGATAATTCACATTATAATGAATAAATGTCTATCATATTGTGAACAGTTGCGTATGGAGATAAGCGTATGTATTTGAAGCTTCGACCTTTATACATTCATAACATTTTCCTCTACGACACAGAGATTAAAGTAATTCAATGATTTCAATTAACATTAAATGGATTTGTCTGAAATGACGCTTAGTCGTGCGCGGTAGCTTATTGTTCGAATTCCTAGCAAAACAGATGTTTCAAGTTTGTGTCACAAGTAACTGTTGTATATTTTTTCCGGTAACAGGTTGTAAACATTTCAACAAAAAGTTCTGAATACTGTATAATAGTGTCAAGGCCACATAGCAGCATCTGCTGTTACTTTTTATTAATTTTTCCATTTAGAACATCTAGAACATCTAGAATTCTTTATTCAACAAATGTGAACAACCAACGTCCATTTTAGATGCCGAATTCTTTTCTTCACATCAGTACGCTCTTTTATTTACTTCTTACTTCTAGTTGTATTTTAATTTCAGCGGATAGTTTGACTCCAAGCTTACTGTTATCGATGTCGTATTTACGTTAACATAAATGGTTTGGTTATAATTTTTTCGTCATATGTTGATAACTATTTGTCAAACATTGCTGGAGCAGAAAGTCAAAAGCAATTCTCATTGCCGATTTTGATCATTGTTCTGTTCTAAAATGTTATTAAACAATATTTGCAAACATTTTACAAGTGGTACAAAGAGAGATTTTAACATTTCGTTTATGATGTTTGTGTTAGTTTCACTAGATACCTATTCGGAGTAAAAACGTACGAACTTTGAAGTAATAAACTTAATATGTCGAGGAGTGCGATATTTATTTTTAAAACCACACGCCGATGAGAATTTTCGAAAGAAATTTAACAATACTTATACCTTTTCTATAGAGCACAATTCTTAATGCCAGCCCATTGTAATTTCTACCTTCCCTTTCTCAAACTTCAAATCCTTTTACAGTTTCTTGCATTTGACGGCACGGCGGCGTCTGGATCGGAATTTAAATTCAGATTATTTAAATTCTAAGCTACTGAGCAAACTCTCGATTCCATACCTTACGTTCGTTATAATGTCTGTTAGTGTAACATATTACTTAATATAATTGTTATATTTATATAAGCAATATAAATAGCTTGCTTGGAAAAGGCCTCCTCTATACTCATACAGATGGTATATGGGCATATTCCACCACGCGACCCCACTGCTAATTGGCGGATTTCGTTGAAATATTTTTTGGTATTATTTAGAAAATATGCAGGTTTCCTCACGATATTTCCCTTCACGGCGGAACACGTGATAAGTCAGCACTTAAAATTAACAAATTCATTGGTGCCGGCACCGGGAATCGAACTCAGGTGCTGAGTATATTCAATCAAAGGCGAGGCGAAATCATTAATTATTAATAATATTATTTTTAATATCGCTCAATCAGTTTGTTTTAGGTAGCTTTGATATACAAAATTCACAAATTCTGATGCTGATTGATGTAATGTAATATATTTCAAGCCTTGATACTTAAATTAATACAGTTAACCGTAGGCTTAGATGTCTCCTTTTACACACCCATATGTATAACTTACCACATAAACTTATTATTGAGTAATACAAGAACTGTTAGGAACTGCGTTATTGAATGAAAAAGGAATCGCAGTTATCCACTCTTCATTCATTTTATTACGTTATTGACGTCAAGGCAACAGTATTGTTCGATTACTGATAAATATGTTATTAATAAGTCTCGCTAGACCTAGGTCAACGGTTAAAGAAAAGGCATTATTACATACATTCAGGCATTAACTTATATCCTTTATATGTAAATAATTATGAGGCGTATATATATATACACTGCTGGGCAAAGTTCTCCTCTATACAGAGGGTATCAGGGCATAGTCCACCACGCGGCCCCACTGCCGATTGGCGGATTCACATATCTTCGAATTTTTTTTATTATTATTTCGAAAATATGCAGGTTTCATCACGATGTTTTCCGTCACCGTGGAGCACGTGATAAGTCAGCACTTAAAGTTAAAAACTTCATTGGTGCCGGCACCGGGGATCGAACTCAGGTTTGAATTAAAGGCGAGCGCCCGGACACTGAGCTATCACGGCTCATATATATATATATATATATATATATATTATATACTTATTTTTTTTCTATACCAGATCATTTTCAAAATACATGATTTACCAAAACGAAACCGAGCAAAGCGGTCCTCCAGGTACTTTCTTTTTATATGAGAAAGCTGGCGATCCAGCTGATGTTAATAGGGGAAACCCCCCCAACCCAGATGCTTTGCCACCTTTTATTTAAGCGGGCCCCGGTTACCTCACTACAAGTTTAATAGAATGAAAATAATCTCAGAAAGTAATTTGCTCGGTTTGCAAGTAATGCAAATAATAAAACCCTTTGTATGATTAAATTGCATCTTACATTTCTTATTCTTATCAAGTTAGTTCTTAGGCCTCACTCAATTAAAATGTGTCTTTAGTCTGTGATGAGATATTTAAAAAAAATGCTTATCACTTTTATTGAGTCGTCGATCTCAAGGCGCACTAAAGCACCAATACTTTGAGACAGAATATCATGTTGCATCTAACTGATCACTCGCGTTGTTAACATTTCTCAGGTCCGCAAGTCTGTGATGAGTTGTTTAAAAAAACTTTACTTATCACTTTTATTGCGTCGTCGATCTCAAGGCGCACTCAAGCACCAATTCTCTGAGACAGAATATCATGTTGCATGTAACTGATCACTCGCGTTGTTAACATTTGGCAGATCCTCATTGCCTCTAACTTATCGCTCGTCTTATTAACATTTGGCAGGTCCGCAACGCGACCGCGCTATCGATCATGAACCTCTCGTGCTCCGACCTGCTGTTCTGCTGCTTCAACCTGCCACTGGCTGCGTCGACGTTCGCGCATCGCTCGTGGAGGCACGGCCGCGTCCTGTGCCACATGTTCCCCTACCTGCGCTACTCGCTCGTCGCGGTCTCCCTGTTCACCGTTCTGACGATCACGATCAACAGATACGTCATGATCTCGCACCCGAAGCTCTACCCGAAGTGAGTGAACTAGTGAAGCGTGCACTTTCACATCTGGATGTTTACCTAATTTTAAGTTTGACGACGCGAATGGCATAGTGGGTAGTGTACCTTGCCTCCTGCGCCAGAGGCTGGAGGTTCGATCCCCACTACTTTTTACCAGTAGATGTGATGATTATATTGTGTGATGATCATAGAGTTTTTGTAGTGGGTGTATGTATAATTATGTATAGCATGTATTTCCTTACCGGTCTCACCAGACAAGGCGCAAAATTGTAAATATTGTAACTTCGCGTCGGTCTTATAAGGCCGTGGTATCGGTATCGGTATGTCAGTTCATTCATGCAACAGTTCGTGCTTGGCTCCATCTATTCAATAATTATTAATTATTTTCAAGTAATGAATCACTTCACACCGCGCTTTTCAGATTCTTAATTTGACAGGTAATGAGTTTGTCGGTAAATGATGTACAAGCAAGGTCAAACCCACGATCTTATGTGGCACGTCGTAGCCCCACCCATTACACCTTGTGAAAAAAAAACTTTACAAATTCACATAGATTACTTCAGTTAATTAATAAAGAATTCTAGTAAAGTATTTCAGTTTAGAAAAATTTCAAATTATCTTTTTTATCACGCGTTTGCTTCTCAACAGGTTGTACAGGGGGCGATATCTGGCGCTGATGCTGTTGTGCACGTGGGCCTTCCCGTTCGGCACACTTACATTCACGTGGCTGGGGAAATGGGGCCGCTTTGGGCTGGACACGCACGCAGGCTCCTGCAGCATACTGCCCGACGACAACAGCAGGTCGCCGAAGAGATTCCTGTTCCTGGTCGCGTTCACGCTGCCGCTACTGGCGATAATTCTGTGCTACGCGCGCATCTTTTATATAGTGAAGAAGGCGACGCGCGCCTCCGGTGGCGCTGTCATCCGGAGGACCATAAAAATGGGCCAGGAGGACTCTTCTTCGGTCACAGAGAGACAGTCCAGAACGGAGCTGTCCAATAACTACGTACCTCTAGCACGGAACGCCGTGGCGCGGCAAAATTTGAACGAAACCCCCGCCAACTCCATGCAGAGCGTCCGCTTCGAAGGCAGCGTCGCCGCGAATAGCTACAGTGACGGTCTGCGCATCGACAAAAACAAATCGGCCCCGAGTTTCCGACGAACGGTGCTAAGGAAATCCTTGGCGCTGGTCAAACTCTCCCTTCCCACGAGGAAGGATAGGAAGTTGGGAACAATGATAATGGCAATCATGATATCCTTCTGCATGTGTCATTTGCCCATTACGGTGACGAAAATGCTGCACGATTACACTTCCCATCCCATAGCTAACATCGCTGGGTATATTCTCCTCTACATGTCGACGTGCATTAACCCCGTCATATACGTTGTCATGTCCAGTGAATACAGAAAAGCGTACAGAAATCTGTTTAAGTGTCGATGATCGCCTTAACTGTATTCTAACGAGCAATTATTTAACTAGTCATATTAAACCAAACAAAGTCATTTCGTGTAATTTGACGGCAATATAATTGTATTAATTTAACTTGGACTGATTCTCCAAATCGATTGCCGTTTTGATCGAAGTTTATTATAAATTAGAACTTTACAAGATTTTACGCGATCAGTATTTTTCTTATTATGTAAGTGACAGTTTAAAATAATGGGAATATACAATAACATTCCTGCGCTAATATGTAATGTCCATACGTTATTGTATTATATAGTTTATGTATGATTATCAGTAGAAAGTGTAAGAAATGCAAACCGTATTTATTCATTTGTGGATTAATATCTTTAATAATCCATAAGTAAATAAACATTTTTATAAAAATTAGAAGCAATGTAGTTATAAATTAAAAGAGTATATAAATAATACATTTCATAAAATGTGTATTGTTTACATGTTAACCGTTACCAAGTATACTACATAACGATATAATGTCATTATCTTCTGTTGAAAAAAAACACAATTTCATGTTTTTCTCAAATGAAATAATTTGGCAGTGTTATTACCATACTATATATATAGATATATATATATATATATAGTACCATACTATATATATATATATAGATGAACGGATGAGCGCAGATCAAGACGTCTAATCGCCTAAAATCTTACAAATTCCTTGATTATATGTAAAATATATACACAGGCACACAACCTTCAATAAAAATATTCATATTATAACTTTTATAATATATATAGTGTAACATTTATTCCACAGATTAATATTTAAAATATCTCTCTCACGGAGACTTATAGATACAATTGAAGAAATGTTATAATCAAGAGTCGGTTTTGTAAAAGAACACAAAAGCTATATATATTAATAGTATTTAATGTTTTTGTACATTAGAAGAAAAATATCTTACTTTTGAACTTTTAACATGAATGCGACGTTTTATGTGAAAGGTAATCTACAAAAGATTATTAAAATAAAATTGATTTATATGTAATTTATAAGAATGTATACTACAAATTATGTATAAAAGATTGTGTATAAAAGTTACGTGAAATGTTTATACTAGCAATAATTACTACGAAATGTTAAAATCTAAGAAAATTTTTCATGAGTAATTTACAAAAGAAGGATAATATTGATATCAGTACAAGTTAGGTCTGACTCATAATATTGTTTATAAAAGATCTTCTAAATCCTCAAACTCTAATATCAAAAAGTTTGTAACGGAATTGCCTTGAATAACATAATTCATAAACAACTATTAAAAATAAACAATCTTTTATAATGTAATCCATTACTCATTCAACATTCTCTAATGTTCTCACTTTCAATATAATATGTAAATAGCCCATAATAATAATTATTAAAATCGTTGTTGAATTAATGGTTAAAATTTCAGAAAACATTTCATACCCATTCACATCGATTCAAAGATATAAAAAGGAAAATCCAAAAGATTTGGTGCCAAAGAACCAATTTTCCAGGGGCCATAAGACCCTGAAGTCGTTGAACTTACCAAAGATGTATCTAGGTTAAAATAAATACATTATAAAATTAATATTTGTTTCTTTTCGTGATCTTTTTTCACATTTATTCCAGAACCTAAAAAATCGCTCAAAGCAATAGTAAAAAGAGAGTTTAAGGCCAATGTTATAAAATGAAGAACATGTTGCAGACGATGATATATTATACGAGTATTTACTAGCGGACCTAACTACGTTGTCCAGTACACGCGACTTAAATCCGAAAACAACTTATAAATAAAAAAAAATGTTTAGGAGGATTTCAGTGATATACACACGCACAAAAGATGTAACTTTTTATTTTATATATATTTATATATAAAAATAAAAAGTTAAATGCTATTTATTTGTTTTCGTAATACTAATCAATTGCTAAACTCCATTTAAACTGCGACAAATAAGCCTCTTAGTCGAACAAAAGGAAAAAGAAGAAATAACTAAGAAACGGTGGTGTGATGTATTTCTGTTGCCCCTATAGCAACAAATACTAAAAAAAGAGAGTAAAAAAAGAATTAAGTGGGGCTCCCATACAACTGACATGACTTTTTTTACTATTTTTATAAATAATAGTTAGGTATAATATATATAATAAATAATAGGCCGGTTTTTGACTTTTAAAAGTAGTTTTTCTTACCAATTCTGGAAAATGTAAATGAAAGTTTGTAAGCGGAAAGTAAAAATGTGTGCCTCTGCCGACTCAGAGAGTTGACAAACGTTTAAACATAATTATTATATAATGTTATGTTCCGTTAAGCTTTCAGGCCCGTTATTTGAGTGGATGGTTAAAGTTAAATAAGAAAATTTGTTCACCTAAAGAAAACTCTAATTAGATTAAAGTACATTGCTTTGTTCGTTTTAAAATACCTTCTTTTGCGGCAGCGGGAATCAATTATAAATAAAAAGTCATATTTTTACACTACTGACCAACTTTGTCTACGTTTCGTCGTATTTTATATATCACGTGTTTTTTTTATTTCACTATCATATATTAAAGTTAAATGTAAAAAACTTAGCTTTGTTTTTAAAATGTAACATAGTATTTCGTTATCGTATTTTTAAAACTTAAAACACTCCAATTGCGTATTGGCTACCATTGCGAAACCATTAACATAAAAAAAAATAGTTTTCTCGTTCAACAGGTATAAAGCACAAAGATAAGTAAAGAATAAAAGCATTCACAGATAAAAATAGAACGCTACTTAATGTTAACCCAGTTACTCGCGAAAGAACATAAACTTATTTTTAGGAAAGTGCTATATCATATGACTAGCTGATTTTACTGAGACTTTATAGGGCTCACTATAAATGTATAGTGTGTTATTTATTTAGTTTTTTTATTATAATATATATTATCAAAATATGGGGATAAAAAGTGATTGTGTTGTATAAGTATACATTCCACAAATACGATTCTCATAACACCTCACCTACCCTTGAAATTACATAGACCAGTTGTATTTATTTACATGGAAGAATGGTTATAGTTTATGAAAATATAAACTTTATACTGGTTCATAAACAGAGTAAAAGAATCACAGTAATTTTTACACAAAGTTGATAGAATATTCAGGACGACTTAGTTTCCAGATTTGGCGTAATATTTATGTAAAAGGATGTTTATGTATTATATGTAAAACGAGCAAGTGGGTCAGGTGATGATAAGCGATAATCTCAGCCCATAGACACTCACAACACAGGAGGAGTCGCAAAGTAGTTGTCATTTGATCGTATCGCTGACAACACCGAAGGAGGCAGAAAAAGGTGGTGGATGTAAAAAAAAATACAATCGACAGACAAAATGTATGTTTCTTATGCCGATGAATAAAAATGATTTTGATCTTTTTCGACCGACTTTTAGCAGCCAACCTGTTTCTCTTCCAGGTTGAGTCAACGCTCTCAATATACATAATATATAATTATACCTATAGGGAATGATCATTACACATTTAATATATTATTAATGTGTATTTTTTTGTAGATAAATTATCGAAAAATCAGCATAAACGGGATTCGGACCAGCGTATACTGTGTAACACGCCCAGACAACTCTTATTTTAAAGACAAATAACCAAGTGTCAAAAACACTTCATGACGCTATGATCTATAAAATCAAATTAAGAAATTATGAAATTAAATTAATTAATTGCACCAATTGAAACAATTTACTTTTAAATTTTTCAATTAAAACAACATTGTAAATAAGGTCACTGTAGCGAAGTAAAGTAAATGATAATTAATTCAGACGTTACTACCTTCTACGAGAATGCTTTCTTCCAAAGTTTACAACTTTGAAATGAGACTAATTGTTCATGCCCTATTAAGTTCCCCTTAGCCCAATTCGGTTTATTTGTGCGAACCGTAAAAGAACAAGTATGTATCAAGAACAAGGTTAAGAACAAATTCAACTTACATTTAGTTTTACATCTTCCTGCCATTTAATTAGAATATAATTCATTTATTACATCAGTAAACAAAGTTAATGAACGAATGAATAAATGCTTTTGAATACAACCACAGATGAAGCGATACACAAAATTAACAATAGATTGACACATTTATAATGCACGTGTTTTCTAAGCTCCATTGAAATGACGGAAACTTCTCTGACTTTGATTTATTTTATAAGATGCCCATTTTTTAATTTTCCACTAATAGTCCAGTAAATTTTTATAATTATGAATATAAAAACGTATGTACTTATACAATTGCAGCTAAATGCACAGTCGACGGCCGTCGGGGTCTCGGTCCGAACCGGCGACCTCGACGGCCCTTAGATGAGACACAATAGTAGTTAAACGCACGCATGAGCACATGCGCGACCCTACCCATAGCGGAGGGTCCAAACCCGTGGGTTCTGGCTAGCCCACCGGTTCTGCGTCCGATGAAGCTTTAATAGTCTCGGGACTGAAAGCAAAAACATCAGTTAATACAAGATACAAGAAGACAATTGCATATCGCACCCTGCGTAGAACAACGTGACATCTGCAAAATTGTAATTGTTCACGACGGCCGATACAAATTATTATTTTTTAGTTTGGTTTTAATTTTCTTATACATGGGAGTTGCTATTATAATTTTCTGAGGTTTGTTATATAATTAGGTATATAAACAAACTGTATACTTTCTGAATTAATAATTATATATATTTAGGAAATAAGAGGTTTCATGTGTAATAGTGACGTTTTCCTACTTATATGGTAATTACTGATGGGTCACAAGATCATATATTATACACGTTTATATAACGTTGTTCAACGGAATATTCCAAAAAATAATAGGTCACATGTTCATAAATAACGTTGTTCTACTAAAAACTCAGAAAATATGTATGACATAAACGCATGTAGCACTGTTTTCAACGAAATATCCGTAAAAAAGTGGGTGACTCTGCAATAATTATGAATTAACTCTAATAGAGTATTTTACACTCGTCTATTACATTAGCAAGCTTAGTTTAGTCAGTACAAAAAAACAGTGTCTAAACGTACATATGTCCTTGTACTACGGAGCACAAATCAGATAGAACGTTGTTCTATTCTGAATCTCAATATCTATAAATCAGACGAAAAAAAATTTAATGTCATCTAAAAGCGTAGACAATAATTAAGACTTTCCGACGATAAAATCAAATTCGTTCTATGTGACCACAGAACGTTATTCTACGCATGGTGCGATTATGTCGATTTAGATTTTAGGCGACACACAGCTTTTTACAGGAACTTTATTTTCATCTCAACATCGATCAACTTTCAACTGAGAACTATTAGAGCACTCAGGTACACTGTTCCATTCGCATTGATAATATGAAATGTCTTTTGCATAACATCACCAGACAAGCACTTTTTCCTAAAATGTGTTGTGTATGTGTCCTTAGTTCGAAGTACCATATTTTTTTTATTCAACATTTACAACATTTAATCTATTATAGTATATATAGTATAGTAAAATAGTATATATGAATGATCAAATGAATATGTCAACGCAATAAATCTTACGGTGGTAGGGCCACGCAGCAGCCTCGGCCGTTGCACGAATGGGCAGGCCCGGGTAAGTACCACAACCTCACAGAAGACCAGTGTAAAGTGGAAGTATGACAAATACTTTCGCGTTTCGTTTGATGAGTGAGGTAGCCGGAGCCCAATTTTCAAAAGGTTGTCAACGCATCTGTAACCCTCGGGTGGGGCAGATGTCGATGAGCGGCGGTATTCACTTAACATCAGGTGAACCTTCTGCGCGTTTGACAACTTTTCGCATAAAAAAGTACATTAGAATGTCGGAGATAGGTGGATCTCATAGGATAACTTGTTGTCAGATCCCTCCCTCATCGGACAAAATAATCAAATTATGGCGACGTATCTCATTTTAAGGTTGACCGAAATGTATTAAATTATGACGACCTGAATAGTGCACTTTCGCATATCCTCCACTGGTTTACCATTAATAATGTGTATTAAATGCCAAAAACTAAATGCCTTCTTTTTACCCTTCTCAGAGTAAGAAAGCAAAGTTGTAGCTTAAAATTAAATAGCGTAACCCTTAACCCTATTGAGTCCGCAGTATTCTTGGGAATTATAGTAGATTCAAAGCTCCAGTGGAGCCCACATCTATCATCTCTTGCGAATAGGTTAAGCTCCGCTGTTTTTGCAATTAGGTAGTAGCTATCAGACATCGACACTGCTAGACTTGTTTACTTCAGTTATTTTCTCAGCATCTTATCGTTCGGCATTTTATTGTGGGGTAATGCATCTGATATAAATTCTATATTTATTCTTCAAAAAAGAGCTATCCGAGCAATCTATAACATCGGAGCCCGGAATACACTCAGAGATGTTTTTAAAGAGATTAATATACTTGCGTCTCAATACATATACTAAATACTAGAAATAAGGACAAACTAACTACGCAATTGTTTCGTCTACAAAAAGTAAACAGGTCGTTCATGGGGCAAAGTGGGGCATGATGAATTTAAACGAAACCTCAAAAGTAAACTTATGGCTAAAACAAATTATATACCATTGCGCAATATTTTGTTGACGCCAATGTGATACTCACGTAAGCTAAAACAAGACCTATACCATTATGTTGTAAACTGACCTTTTTGAAAAAGAGCAACTATTGAGTTTCTTGCCGGTTTCTTCTCAACAGAAACTGCTTTCCGCACCAGTGGTAACTTACGAACGCATTAATATCCTTGCAAAATTTTGACGTTTCATAAGAACGCGCAAACGTCTATGTGAATAAAGATAGGTATTTTGTATTTGAATAAATTATTTGATTGTACTGCCATTTTCTTGAATTGCATTTGCAATGTCCACTGAGATTCAAAGCTTGTTTACTAGAGCACATTTACAAATGATGTCTAGTTAAAATAATAGCAAAATAAAAAGAATAAAAAAATATTAAGACTTACTCAAAGAGTAACACTATATAAGAAAACAAACATTTCTGAAACTCAAAGCCTAACATTGAATATTGTCACGTCAGTATGTCATTTACAAAATTTTTTGTTATTAACACTGCACAAGTATCTAAGACAGCGAATATTTCAGAAGTTGGCGTGTTTCCTACTTTTGATTGATTACACAATTGTATCGTTCCAGTAAATTACACAAGCGGAATACCAAATCGTTATATAACTGGACTGTTCGAAGCTTCCAAGAAAACAATTTCAATATCCAATCTGGACTAACATTACCAGCTTTTAATACACTACGTAATCAGGTTGATGAAATATAAATTTTATTACTTTGTTATACTCAATTAATTTCTTGGTGTGCTATACCTGTGCCAAATCTGTTAAAATCAAAATGGCTAATTCATTATTTTTTAGAAAATCTTACAGATAATGTAATGTACAATAAAAAAATAAAATCTCTCAAAAAAAGAACGCATCCACTGTTGCTATATTGTAAACTGAAAGGGAATGAGATAACTTTCCGCGTTATCATTAAAGCTACTGAAGTTGATACTTATCGTTATAACGACACGTGATGGACTATCTCTGCACATGGCACGGCATATAGAAATAACAGGATTCAGCGCTACGTATATCGATGGTGATGCATCTTATGATTGATATGCGAGTGATTTGAGGGTTACTAGATAAATGAAAATTTCTCAATTTCTTTAAATATTTTGCCCGTTTATTCATTTATTATAATCAAACGGTACAAAAAGTCTACTTAAATTATTTTATTGAAACAATGGTAAAAATTTAAAATGAAATATTTCTTTTGTATGAACGACAAGATTGCAATGGAATACCTTATTATACCTTACGAAGCACTTAATAAAGATCAGCATGGCTCAAGTTTCAAGTTTTTGTCATTTTAGATGACCATTTTTTTTAAACGTGCGGAAATCCGTTATGGATACCTAGCTCTCCGATTAGAGAAGAACCAAGTTATGTCGAACTCACACCAACTAAAACCCCAAGGTCGCCGTCTGCTCTGATGACGCCTCACGGGATGTTCAGTCGGAACACTCCTTAGCATGCCTATTATTAATATTATTACGGCATTTCGCTGGCCCCAGCATCCTCGCGGTGGAGACTACTTTAAGACCGACTTCTTTTAGGCGGCTTCACTATGGGAGTATTAAGGGCTTCACCCCAATCGCACATGACCTGTGAGGCTCCGTTTCTGGTAGGGAAGTCCATTATCGTTAGGAAGGCCGTGACAAGGCGCATGGACGCGTCGGTAGCCCCGTCTCCGAGCGGGGTCGTGTTACTCTCGATCCCGCTCAGCAGCCTCTTTCTTAATCATCAAAGTCTCTACTGTATGCTACTGCGCTCCACGCCGTTTCTCCTGACATCATCGCCGACACGACTGCTGGCAGATTGAGGTTTCGCCCAATGTGGCTTACCAAGATACAGCGCTCCACATCCCAGGCGGAAGGTATGCGAAAGTTCGAATGCGCTTTAGGTAATTTTCGTAGATAGCCATCGTCTTATTTTTTCGTTTTAAACTAGACTTAGAAGCACACGTATCTTGTTTGTACCAAAAAGTCATTTTTTTATGGAGAAAGGGGGCAAACGAGCGGAAGGCTCACCTGGTGATAAGTGATTACCGCCACCCATGAACACCTGCAACACCCGAGGGCTTACAAATGCGCCGCCCTTCAGTCATTTGCTCAACCTTAGGTTTTCTTTATTTATCTATCTAGGTATTATTTCTTAATCTAGAATCATTCTTTGGAGATAGCATATTTGAGGTCATTGATATCTGTAACAAAGAGCTTCGAAAACGATATACGTTTTTATTTATGATCAACGTCCATAATCCACTGGCATTGTTCACAAATTGTATTGCATGTTAATGTTCAAAATAACCTTTATCAGAATTTCTATTTCAATGGTGAATTGTGTGCCCATAAGTCTGAATATAATGTAATCTATTTTTTCATTTGAATGTAATGGCTGAGTCGCACGCATAAAATTATCAAAATCTGTTTATTGGTGTTTACAAAAAGGAAAGAAACAGTTTTACATTAATGGAGTTATTATTATTCCATTAATAAATTAAACTTTTTAAATGTATTAAAGGTACTTTCAATATTATCAACAGGTCATGAAGTAACTATGTAATGGGGAATTTAATTCGAGCTCTTATTCTTTATAATCACGTTTACATATTGCTGTCTAATTATTAAGTAACGTCATTATCATAGGACACTACTTCTTCGAGAACTTATAAATAAATAATAAAATAATAAGCGTTTTATTTTATTATTTATTTAAACGAGAACTTATTAAACACAAAGCAATTTAGAATAGGTCAATTTCAGATCCGAAGAGCTTAAGGAATAATAAATATTCTACTTCTCTGGTCATCCTATAAAGGCCCCATCATAATCAAAGAACGAATGCACCTGTATAAATGAGACGATAGAAATCTGCCTTTGCACGCGCAGTATAAACTAATGGCTACTAGATAATTATTCTTCTACTTACTAAGTTTTATTTTGTAAACACTTGGCCCACAACACACAATTCGTTCCCAAAAATCGTCTCAAGTCAAAATATCATTCACATAGATTATCTAATCAAGTTTTTTTAACAATTTTTTCATTACCGTCATTCAATAGATATTTATAACATGTACAAGTTTCATTGAAAAAAAAACTTATAAATATAAATACTGTTCGATTAATAAAGAAAGTAAAAATATAGGCATTGTTTTCCATTTACATAACATACATATTATGAATGGAAAAAGATTTGAAATTCATTTAGATAACTCTATCACTGCTGATGTCTTATTATTGTCATTAGTTTTTCGGGTATTTATATGCGTTAATACCAATATTCTGTTTAGCTCATGAACGGTATACGGTTACGATACGGTTCGTATTCCATGCCAATAAAATTATTCGTTTTAAGAATCAGCAAAGGCTTCTTATGAATTGGAATACTAACTACAGTCCTTACTTGTAAAACAATTACAAGATTATTTTAATTAAAAAAACAGTTTTGTATGCACTTATCACAACCTCATTTTGGTTGAAAATTAAGTTTTTCTAAATAATCAAAATGATAAAAATCCAAACGAAACTTTTCACACCTAGTATAATATTTGAGCTCGGTTAGCTATTTGCTTAAACTTTACAATCCTATTAAAATTGAAATTGAATTGCAAATGAATTGCTGGAATTATCACTAAACGTCCACATTTGCTTTGTCTGAATTAGGCCCAATATCACCAACTTCGTTTAACTCATTACTAAACTATTATGCGAATAAAATTAGAAACATTTTTATACCCCGTTTACCGCAAAATGTAATACACTAATAAGATGATCTAAGACTAATCATGTATCAAAATTGTATCTCGTATCTTGTATTAACTGATGTTTTTGCTTTCAGTCCCGAGACTATTAAAGCTTCATCTGACGCAGAACCGGTGGGCTAGCCAGAACCCACGGGTTTGGGCCCTCCGCTGTGGGTAGGGCCGCGCATGTGCTCATGCGTGCATTTAACTACGACATGTAATCTAAGGGCCATCGAAGTTGCGGTGCGGACCGAGACCCCGATGGCCGTCGATTGTGTTTTTAGCTAATCGGTGGCTGGGGGCGGTGAGAACCGCCCTGGAACGCGGGTGTACCTTGTGTACGCGTTGTGTTGGTCTCGCCGTGCTCGAAGGCGAGGGCGAACTATTGTGTTTGTTGTTACATTAGCTGTGGGTGTAGTGTTATCCGGCGGGACCCCCGGCGGTGGGTCCGGCGTATCTAAGTCCCCTTCCTCAACCGGGTCGATTAGGACGTTTCGCGGGCGACGCTTGTTGACGTTCGCGTTTGTGTCGGGTTGGTAATTTACTGATCAGAATAGTCAATTACCATTTACAGTCTCTAAAAATTGACATCCTTGCAAATCATTGATGTAAAGCATTTTTCGAACTGGGTGATATTGGTACAACATTTTTGATTAGGTAATGCAGCGAAATTATTTGATGTGATTCAAATTAAACTTATAACGTTATTTCTTAATTTCTTTATGCAATAAAATAACACCTGTTGAATTTTACAAAAATCTAATCGTCCGTTAGGAAATTAAAGTATATGTTGTGTAGTGATTATAACTACTGGTGAGGAAAAGAACTTGAACCATTAATTCAGTGCAAATCGGCGAATAGGAAAATTAACAACGGAATATGGCGAAATTGGACCTTACGTTCGCATGTTTAATCGTTCATTTTGTTTACGTGAAAACGCATAATCAGTGCCTTTATACACGAGTGCATGTGCATAACAGTACTCAAAATTATCTAGCTATTATATTTAGCCGTCACTGAATCTCATAATAACGTTCTACATATTCTAGAAACTCTCAAATCAACGATAGGTTCACGGTGCAATAGCAAAGCCTCACTTTTATTATAAACGTTATTTTTAGTCATAATCTCCGCGTTGAAGATGAAACCTAGAATGAATTTGGAGAAAACTTGTAGAAAATGCAATAAAGAAAGTAGATAGACGTCGGGATTTTAGCGCCGTAACGTCAACGACCACTTAGCTTAGTTGGTTAGAATACCCCGGCAGTTTAATAACAAGACGTCGGTTCGATTCGCGCAATAATTCCATATAAATTCATCATTCAATCATAGAAATTACAAAACCACGGCAAGGAACGCTGCGCGTTTGCTGGTTATAAACAAAAATCAATGTAGGAACGTTTGTAAAGCATTCATCCAATTATGATGGAACGTTTATTAAGTTGTTCTGCAAAGGTCTGCAAAAGTTCCTGACCTAGAAAAAGAAATTTCTTTACAATATTGTTATATAATCATATTTTATCAGATACAATGACGCTTCAAAGGATGCTGGGCGTTAGCTAATAAACTTTTAATAACTTTTATTTTGAATAATCAAACGAAAGGCCCCATCGCTTTAAGCAATTCATAAAAAGTCAAAGAAATAAAGCAACAAACAAATAACATTCTCCATAAACACTTAATAAAATTATATAAAACTTATAAATAAATGGACAAATCCATTCGTTGTTTGATGTCTCATACAGTTAACGGCAATTGGATATAAATTACGAAAACATTGGATACAAATCAGTTGGGGTGATATATCTCGCTCATAAAATTTACTTTAAATCGGATGTAAACGTTGGCATTGCATTAAAACGTGTATGTAATGGAAACAAAAATAGTAGTTTTATTACATGAATATAAGTGAGATTCCAATTAAAAGAGCTTTTTCAAGTGGTAATCTCTAAAGATTTTATAACTAACTATAATAATTTTGAACTCTGAAATAAAGAATTTGATGTGTAAAAGAAAAAATATAGAAACGTATTTAAGTGTTTAATCTGTCTAAGTTTGCTAATAATTAAACATTACACTGAGCTAATAAAGTTATTTGCTCTAACCGACTTTAGTAATTATCGTAATTTCCTTCTGCCTTCGAAAGGTACACAACGAAACTTTCGGTAGGTAGTTGACTTAACGGATAATAGTTTCTTAACTACCAACTAAATTAGCTGTGTGGACAAACTTTATGGTTATGTGTTATGTAACTTATAACATAAGGTCACTTTACTCCTTTTTTATGCTATCGATCGTTGTAGTTTTTAGTGTTTAGGATTAAATTTTACCTTAATGAATTATGTATACGAAAAAATTGTTTAGATAATACTTCTTAAAATTTTAAAATTCTCAAACAATATCATTCCTATTATACGTTATTACAATGATCTTTATTTTTTAAATCATCTATCGTTTTCAATGGTAATTATAGCCATGAATATAAAAAACAGTAACTTTCAAATAAAACAAGAAATATAACGACCCGAATGGCGTAGTGGCTAGTGTACCTGCCTCCTGCATCAGACGGTGTGGGTTGTGTGATGAACATAGTATTTTTCCAGTGTCTGTGTGTTTATATATCCATAATATGTATTTATTTACAAAATAAATTATGTTTAAGTATGTTTATCAGTTATCTAGTACCCATAGTACAAGTGTTGCTTAGATTGGGACTAGAGAACGTTGTCTAAAAATGTGTCCTAAAAATATTTATTATTATTATAATATGACATAATAATCATATTCTCTACAATAAAGGTAGTTTGTTAATTTCTTATCAACTATTTCAATCAAGTCAAAAGTCTTAATTGGAATAACTGAACGATAACAAAAAAACTTGTACAAATATTAAAGAAACGTAAAAGTTTGATTTCTACTATCATCTTGTTGTTTACAGTTTACCATGAACTTGTCACCTTAACGTATTGTTACGATTACGTTGTAGAAGTCTTGAATATCAAATTTAAATGACGTAAAAAGTAGGTAAGAGTATATACATGCCCCACTGCTGGGCAAAGGCCTCCTATATA